CTACTATATATATATATATATATATATATATATATATATGTTGCGTGTGTGTGTGTCGCGTGTACGTAACCGCAAGGAGCGGGTCATGAGGTTGTGTGAATTCGCATTGTTGATATGCGTTCTTCTTGTCACAACCACCACGACGGGTGACCTTGGCGGGGTTGTCCCTGCGCCCATCTCAAGAACACGAGAGTCCTGGAGGATCCACAGGCTTCAGGTCGTGATTTACCTGAACACCACAACGTGCTCCGCGGCAGCAGAAGCCTCACAGACTTTTCCCGTGGCATTGGAAAGTGACTTGCTTGAGGGCATCTTCCATGAAATTTCGTTGACGAGGGAAGCTTCCTACTCAAGCCAAGCATCTTCTGGATCAGTGTCTTGTGACATTCACTGCATTTCCTCATGGGATGCGGTGGCCACTGAGGCTTATCGGGGGAGAGGAGCCGTCTGTTCCTTCCCTTCCACACTTCTTTGCAAGTGGGAGGTGGACGAGGCAACATCCAGTTTGGCGAATCTCCATGTAGCGTGTCAGAGACGCGTCTGGGAGCTCTACACGACGGCGAACAACGCTACGGAGGCCAAGCATGCCAACAGCAGCAGTAAATACATTTTTAGGCGCTCCTCAGAGGTGTATTACAACCTGACTGGTGACCGGCGTCATCTGGTGGCGGTGGGTGGTGACTGCTATCGCAGCGAGCTTTTTGCAGCTTCTGCAAGCAGCAATTGCGGTCGGGTGTTGTGTTTGGGGGTCGCTATGATTGTGCTGGCGGCTGTCGTGGCGCTGGTCTTGGTAGTTGCTGTGGTGTATGTGTGTCACCGGCAACTCTTTGGCCGCTGCTTTCTGCCCAGCCCCAACGGTGGTGAGCCAACCTTCTCTTCACAGCTGGTTGCACGTCTAGCGGATGATAACGAGATTAGCGGTAACGCAACATACGAGCCCTGGAAACGGCCTGTGGAGCCCTCAATGCCCTTCAATCCACCCATTTACGTTTCTTTAGGGAACTTTAAATCTCCACTGTCCCGGTCATCGGAAACAATGACTGCGTATTTTTTGAAAACCGGGGAACCCACGACAAATGTTTCGCCAAAAATTGCGCGAACAGTCAGTACCTCTGGGCAAAGGCAAGACTCAGCGCCGGCCTCCATACACCTGAGGTGTCATCATTCAACGCCGCGGCAGTATGAACCGCCACATGTGGATGGCGTTGAGTTGGCTCTGCACGGTGACAGCGGACTGGGTGGCTGGGGTGCTTGGCACTCAGAAAGGTCCTCGCCCATCGCTTGCGAGGTAGACATATCGAAAGAGGAGCGCGAGCAGCTCCTGCGCCAGCGTTCATGGCTTAGAGAGCACGTCACAGGCCTTGATACACTGTAAGCAACAACACCAACTACAGCGATAGGTTATTTTTTATTTTTATTTTTATTCTGTTTGCTTACGCTCAGAGAATGCGTGGTGAATCACACGGGTACGGATATGCAGATGCATATATATGTGCATCTTTAACATTTGTGGCCATTTATTTATGTACGCGCTCCTATACGGAATTTGACTTTGAAATGCTGTGTTGACACAATATTTCCCGTTGTTTTTTTTTTTAGTTTTGGCGCTCTCGTGTGTTTGAAAGGGGCGGGGGAGATGTCTGCTTGTCCGTAAAACGCTGTTTTATTTTTCTACTCTACTTATTTGTCATCTTACTAGAACACAAGTACACTGAGAGTGAATTGACAAAGACCACCTCACTTACAGGGATACAAAGAGGTGTGTGACACAGACGACACACGGCGTAAATGAAGTCTTCTTTGGCCTTTACGGTGCGGCACGCAGTTGTCCCGGTGATTGGATGCAATTTACTCTTCCCCGTCCGCCGCGTGTACTGCGTTGGGCAGAACTACGCGGACCACGCGAAGGAGATGGGCGGCGTGGCTTCCAAGACCAATCCATTCTTCTTCAGCAAGCCTCCTGACGCCGTTGTCAGTTGCGAGACAAACCACACGGCGGCGATGGAGGTCAACGTCCGATATCCGCCTCAGACCAGCAACTACCAGCATGAGGTGGAGCTGGTCGTCGCCATTGGCGAAGGTCGTGGTGGCAAGACAAAGTACGGTGCCATCTCCCCTGGAGAGGTGCACAACATCATCTACGGCTACGCTGTGGGTCTTGACCTGACACGGCGCGACTTGCAGTTGGCAGCGAAGACGAATGGGAAGCCGTGGGACTTGGCGAAAGGCGCTGACGAGAGCGCCCCACTCTCAGCTATTGCGCCCGTGGAGTTTCTTCGAAAGCAGGCGTACGCCATGTTTTACGCGACGGAGGAGAGTTATAAGCAGGCGATGAACGCCAAAGCCCAAGAAGAGCCCACTGTTCTTTGTCGGGGCAACATCGAGCTGTGGGTGAACGGGGAATGTCGGCAAAAGAGCGACCTGTCATCGTTTGTTACCCCCATCGATGAGCTGCTCTCTATTTTGTCGCACTCCGTGGAGCTGGCCCCCGGCGACCTCGTCTTCACAGGAACCCCGTCGGGTGTTTCTGCCTTGAAACTCGGTGACGAGATCCGGGCAGCGATTGAAGGTGTTGGTGAGATTGCAGTGCGGCTGCACTAATTCATACATATATGTTTTTTTTCTTTTTTGTTGAAAACAATCCAAAGAGAAAGAAAGAAGAAGAAAAAAATAGCAATGCATTTTGCCTTGGCTTTGATTCTCAACCCGCACTTTGTATTTCTCCTGTGGAGTGTTGCTGTAAGGGGGAGAAAACCCATCCCTGTTGTCGTGCCTCCATGCGTGATCTACGCCTCACCTATTATTATTATTATTATTCTCTCCCGCTCTCTTGTCGCTTTCCCCACCATCTACTGCGTTGATGGAAATAGAAGAAGTGATAGTTTAAGAGGGGAAGGCGAGGTGGTGACAGGGCGTCGTCACACACTCCGCCCACCCGAGAGGAAAAAAAAGGAAACAGGAAACAAATATACACACAACCAAAAGGAAGATATACGACAAAAATAGTTTTCTATTGTAATACACACAGAAAGAGAGATAAGTAGAGAGAATAGAGGAAAATAAAAATAGGTGTTGCTCCTAGTAGTCGTTTGTGTTACTGCTGTTGCTGTCGAGTGCAGGTGCAGCCGTCTGCTCTGTTGCGCTTTTTTTCTTCTCTAGCTGCTAGTCTGCTGTGGTAATAGTTGTTGTTGTGACTCGGTTCTTTTGCCCCTGTTGTTGTTGTTGTTTTTTTTTTTCTTCTTCACTCCTCCCGTTTTCGCCGTAGTGTGTTTTTTCCGTGTTTTTGCTGGAGTTTTGATAATTCTGCTTTTTGTTTTTGTTGATATATCTTCAGTCACCGCAATTTATTTTGCTGTTGTCGCCACGACAACAAATGAGCCTCACCACCCAGAGCCGGACGGAGAACTCCAGGCAACAGCTTCGGGCTGTGCATTTGCAGCGAAAGTGCCCTGACAAGGCCATAGAACCTCTCGAAAAATTGTGCATGTCGCTTGTGATGGGGGTTGAACGATATCTTCGCAGCTTTGATGCCGCTATGGCGATACCGATGCTGCTTCGCATGACGGAAAGGGAGACGTTTTCGAGCTACGGGGACGCCCTGACGCTGCTCTTTCGTGCGCTTGCTCTTATCATGGAGTATGTTCCGAGCTCCCATGAAAGTGTGCGGTCGTACCATAAGCGGCTAATGAAGTCAGTGTGCCAGGCCCTCTCCCAGACACTTTCGTCTAGGATGAAGTACAGCAATACCGATAACGTGATGCTCATGGAGGAGTCCCTGCGACTCATTCACTTCATTACGAAAGATGAGGGTAACATTTCTGTCCTGCGCTTTGGGATGAAGTATATTATACGGATAGCCGCCTCGGAAAATACGTTAATGGCGCGTCAGGCCTTTGCTGTGCTTCTCACCATCTGCTCCAAGATTACCTTGCCCTCGGATGCGGCAAAGCCATCACTTTTTCGACTGCCGTTTTTGTTCATTGGTAATGATAAGAGTGGCATGTATAGAGGTTGCGGCTTCGACTTGTTGGAGTCAGAAGAAACGCTACGGGTGACTACCGTGGAGACTGTCCTTATCCCTTTTTTGCACTCAGCACTTCAGCAGTATGCAGCGAATCTTGAGAGCTTTTCAGATGCGTGGTCGTTTTTGGAGCAGACTTTACAGTGTCTAAGCATGCTGATGCGCCGGTCTATGTTGTGTCATCGCCCCTCCACTACCCGAAAAATTGTCACACGTGAAATGTGCTGCACGGTCTTTCAACTGCTTCTCTCTAACGACACAAATGTGGCGCTCGAGCAGGCTGTTCGCTCTGACCGACTGTTGCTCTGCGAAACTGTGTTGGGTGACGCCATTGCGGCAGATTCACTCGTGACAGCAGAGTCCCTTCTCTGTGAGGAGGCTGTGGCCTACTACAAACTTCTACTAGAGGAGCAAGATAGTGGCCTCATTACGCAGCTGGATGACCCCTTTCCGATAGGCAGCATGGCGTCCCGAAACACCCAACGACGTGACAGGAACAACATTGTCTCCATCGCCGCCATTCGCCTCTTTGTTCTTGCCTGTCCGTGTGTCTTAAGCGAGGCGTTTGGCCCCAAGCCCAAGGTTCTACTGCCAGTCCACCAGTGGTACTGGGAGGATGAGATACGGCACAGTAACGCCATCACTGAGGAGGCCTGTGTGACGCTGGAAACGGGATTTGATCGTTTATGTAAGGAGGTTTCCCTTCGACTGCATATGAAGGCGGTAACAGCGAATTTTCAGACAATGAAGTTGTCGAGTGGCTTTGGTAGTTTGGATCGTAATATTTTACGCAAAATAGTCCCATTTGTGTTTCACTTTGTGAATGAGACGGATGTTCGTATAGTCAAAGCGGCAAAGGAGGCCATGCTAGCCTGCAACCCTGCGCCTATCTGTAGGCGGGAGGCGAAATCCATTGCTGCCATGGAGACCGTGGCGGCCATACAAGGTTTGGACAAACTTTTTATATTGAACAAAACTGCCGTTACACCGGCAATATATATGTGCATTGCGGAGGTTTTCCTTGAGGATTTGTGCGGTCTCGTGCTTTCAGTCTCTGGGCAGATGGCTATGCAGTTAGGAACCTCAGCGTGTGCGTCGTTGCTTCAGGCTGCCATTTGCACTGGCGAAGATCAGCGACTGGAGAGTCTGTTGTGTAGAATTATTCGTCCCTTCTGTGAGATGTTGCGTGAGGCCTTGGTGTCGGGGGACAAAGCCACTAAGTCCGTATCCCTCACAATGATGGTGTGGCTGCTGTGTCATCCGCGAGCATCGACGTGGAAGTTTAGCGAGACAGCGTTGCGGTGCGGCGTGGTGAATCAATTGGAAATTATGTTGCTCTCGTCGGCTACCAGGGAAGTCACCACGAAGGCGAAGGGACTTAGTACCCTTTTCAAAAAGAAAAATATGGTGAAACCAACACGCACCGCATACCTGGCGGCATCTGCGTTGACAATTCACCGGGCGATCAAGAAGCAGCTGTTAAGGCCACAATCCCCACAAGCAGGGAACGGTCTCAGCACGACGGATGTAACGTTGGTGGAAACAGTAGTGAATGACCTAAAGGTCTGCGCCGCCGTCCCGGGGCTGCACCAAAACGTGGTGGCACATACATTTGAGGTCATGGAAAAGTCAGTGAGCAACATGACAGTGTATGAGATGTCTACGTTGGGTATCGCCGACGCCGTGCTCAACTACCTGCTTGGCGAAAACTACAACGATTACTGTAGCGGTGCTATCGACATCTCAGCGGGTGTGACACCGTCGGCAGCACAGAAGGAACTGTTTGCTAGAGTCGTTGAACTGGGGTCTGAAGAAAGAGATGATCTACTACTGGCTTTTGGCGGCCAGCGTACCGCCAAAGGCCTTCATCAGAAATGTCAAAAAGAGCGTCTGCAGTGCTTTCTGGAATGTGCGATGCAGCGACCACGTGGGGTGAAGGCGTTGATTGAGAATCTGGTCTCCACAATCCCTCTGCGATTTACATTACCGCTTGTGGAATCACTCTTGGGCGCCTTTCGGGTCTCGTGTCGATCGCCTGTTAAGGCTGTATTTGCGGCCAGCCAAATATCACCCATTGTTAGTCTTTGCTGTAAGCCTGGGGTGGCATCAGATGCTGTCCGGCGAAACAACCCTGAGAAAAAAGACTGCAGGAGTACGAGCCAGCACAACATGTCATCTGCATTTTCAGCAGTATTGCAGTCTGAATTAACTTTTCCCTCTGAAGCTGAGGAGGAGGCAGTTCACCCCCGTGAGAACTGCCCTCGTGGGCATCGTTTGCACGTCGTAGTGGGATCACAATCTTTGTGTTTCTGTGATATCTGTGAGGAAGAGCTACACAACGGCTTGTGTTGCCAGCGCTGTGCTTTCCACATATGTAAGGACTGCTACACGGATCCCAAAGTACAGTACGAGGGTGGCATTCCTGGTGTGGGTTCCAGGCCAAGTGGTGGCCTCATCTCGCGACCTGCAGGGCGTTTACAGCATCAACGACAACACCGGGAACAGCTGGAACGAGAACGTGAAGGAGTGTTAGGGCCGTCTCCTCGTGCTCATTTATTTGCTAGCATTGGCGACATTGAGCGACACTTCCGCACGGGATCATCCTTAACGCGGAACACGGATGTGGCACCTGCTCCACAGTCAGTGTTGCAGAATATTGATTTTTTTGTACGACGTGCCAAGACTTTTCTTGCTCGTAAACCGATTCGCTACAGCGAAAAAGCTCTTCGTCAGGCAGTGTGTCGCATTCTAAACTCCTTCTCGTTACACGGTCCTATTATTGACTTTGATGAAGCTGCACATAACGATGCGGAGAGCCTGACGTTAAGCTCAAAGGAGCTCCAGGAGCTAACAGGGGTCTTGCAAGACGCGATGGAGGAGCGGTATGTGCTCTACACCGCACCTGGTGGTCGTTGCGCCTACCAGGAAACACTTATAGGGAATTTTCTTCAGCGTGCTCTTCATGAGGGAAGTTTGGGAGTTGTGGAACAGCTGGAAACCTGCTTGCTCAACATCGAGGGTTACGGTGAACCTTCTACCATTCTTGCAGACTTGTGCCAGGGTGAACTTCTGCTACTGAGACGCGACGAAGCTGGCATGCAGTCGCCGTTGTCAGATATGCCAACTAAGGCAAGCAATGCGCAAACGTATACCTTTCACCATTTTGAAACGGACGAGGACACGCGTTGCGTATGTGGGACGATGTCAAGAAAAGAGCTTAACTCCACGTATATACCAAAACTCATGCGCAAGCCCTCGCGGCTCTCCCGAAACGCAGATACACTTTTGCTTATCTTGCTGCAAAAGTTACTACACCCGCTGATTAAGCAGGGTATTATGGACATTGATGCTGGTGTCTTTGTGAGTGCCCCTTTCACAACTCTCGTCGTAAAGGCGTTGGCGGCGTCGGCACTCCGTGTGGCTCTTCTGCCCCCTAGGCTTGCGGTTCCTAGGTGGACAGACTTTGTTATCACAGAGGCGAGCTTTCTTTTGCCGTTAAATGTCCGTGAACGCATTGCCCGCTTTTTTGCCTACGATGCTCGCCGGGCACTACATAACTATTTAAGGTCATTACCCACAAGTCGCTCCAATCGGTTTATCAGTATTTACCCAGCGGAATGGGGGCGGTGGGCAAATCATAAATTTCGTGTGAACCGTGCTTCACTGCTGCATGATGCGTACAAGGTGCTCCGCAAAAGTGCAGACTCCAGGCTACCGATATCTATCGAATTTGAGGGGGATGTTGGGGTTGGGCAGGGTCCCACGGCACACTTCTACACCTTAATTGCTGAGGAGGTCAAAAAAGCAAATCTAAATCTTTGGCGCAATGGGACGTCTCCCGCACAACGCAAAGGCAAATACAATAACGTAGACGCGAATAGCAGCGATGCAAAGGTGGAACCTCCGGCAGAAGGATTGTATCCAGTTGTGCTTGACGCGAAGGATCAGGGTTGCCTGTGCCCTCTCGCTCCGCAGCACTTGCCACGAGGAGTGAAAGAGCTGACAGAACATTTCTTCTCCCTTGTTGACTATGCGGAGTTTGAGCGCGAGCGAACTAGGTGCTATTATCTTATCGGAGCTGCTCTTGGCCGTGCTTTTACAGACGAAATGGTTTTTCCTCTGGATTTAAGTCCTGCCCTCGCCATTTTTATGAAACGAGATACCCCATTCCCACGCATCCTTTTCACCGCCGACACTACGGTTGACGAGGGAATAGAGCGGCCCATTGATTTCATGGATCTTTCTCTTGATGATGTGGAGCTGATGGATCGCTCCATCGCGGCCAGCGTGCGATCGCTGCTCACACTCAACCCCGCCACCTTGGAGTCGCTCTCGATACCCTTCACACTTCCCGGCCACGACAACTTTGAGATGGTGCCTGGAGGCGCAGGGAAGTTTCTGACGAATAAGAATTGTGCTCAGTACATTCGTCGGGTTTGTAGTGCGTTATTGTATGAAGCTGCGGTGTTGCCCATTCGTTTCCTTGTGCGCGGGTTTCGCGACATTGTTCCGTGTGAGTCACTCGCCCCGCTTGATGTCCAGGAGACGATGAGCCTATTGTGCGGGTGTGCAGTAAGCGACACCAAGCCGCTGTGGACCCTTGCGGAAATCAAATCCATCCTTGTTGCCGATCACGGCTACCAAAACGACTCTCCGCAGATGACAATGTTGCAGAACATCCTGGCAAACCGACTGACGCCGGTGGAGCAGCGTAGTTTCCTCCTCTTCTGCACGGGCTGTCCACGCTTACCGGTCGGCGGTGTCGGAGCCCTTGGGGCCATCACGGTAGTCAGACGCTCAGACTTGACGGTGCTTCATGATTCATACAGTCTAGGGGACGGCGACAGTCACGCCGCCAGTGGAACGGGGGGAGAGAAACGAAGCACCACGCCAGAGAGTGGGCAGGGCTTTTTGCTAATTCAGGGAGACTGGCCGCTGCCATCCGTCAACACATGCTTTCGCTACCTGAAGCTTCCCCCTTACCCCACAGAGGAGCTTATGTACAACAAGTTACGACTGAGCATCACACAAGGGGGAGAGACATTTCAGCTGTCCTGAGCACATTGAGCGAAATGTTAAAAATAGGGAAAGTGCCGCTTTCGTTTTTGTTGTGGCGTGTATGTGTATGTGTATGTGTTTTGTTTTTGTTTTTGTTTTTGTTTGATGTGTGTGTTTTTTTTTCTTGGTTTGGTGTTTTTCTCTCTTTCTTTGCCTCGTGCGCCGTTTATTTGTTTTTTCCTGCGGGGCTACAATTTGTGCCCTGTCAGCGTTTTTGTGTTGTATTTTGTTGGGGGAGCGCCAGTTTTGATATTTTGCTATGACTGCTGCTCCATTGGCAACCTTTTTCCTTTTACCTCCCATTTTTTGTTTGCTTGTTTGTTTGTTTGGTTGGTTGGTTGCGTACGTCTCTTGCAATCGCATAACAGTATGACTGGCGGGCAACTCACTGCGTAGTAATTGTGATGAGTTCAACCAACAGCTGTGTAACACGTATGCATGGGGAGCACGCGCGTGTATGTATGTGTGTGTGGGTGAGGGGAGGGGGTGGGGGTGAGGGGAGGGGCGAGTGCATTTCCAAACAACGTTGCCCAGGACACCTTCAATGCATGCGTGAAAACTAACTATATAAATATATATATATATATATCACTGGGCACGGGCACCGATGTGCGTTCTCCTGTGTGGTGGGCCGCAGTAGAAAAAAAAAAAAGACCAGAAACAGCACGAAATACAAACACACACACACAAACACACACACACACACACACACACACAGTTGACTTTTAGATGTAACTTCACGTTCTTTTCCGCGGTACTTGTGTGGTTGTGATATGTTAGTTGTGGAAACACGACGGTGCAAAGGCAAAGTGAAACACCACTTCAGTGGGCGTGTCTGCAGGGCTTACCTGTTGCGCTAGCGATGTGTCCTCACAATGCATGCATGTGAAGGAAATGTAGGGATAATGAGATTGTGAGAAGTAAAATGAGCTCATGCTAAAGAAACATGGACACACGTACGCAATGAAAGATGTGGGAATGCACATGACAACCCTCTCCGTTTTTTGTTTGCTTTGCCCTCCTCCACTTCACGTTGTTCCTCACTGTAGGTGTGAGGGAATGCTGTGTAACTGTTGGTCCTTGGATCCTGTTGTGGGCTCACGTACACACTCTCTGTGCGTTTTCTATCTTTTTTTTTGTCTTTTTATTTCCTTCTTTGAGTCGTTGTTGGTATTGCCCACACGCTTACGCAACTCTCCGTTGTTTTTCTATTTTATTCTTCATGCGCCGGCGCCAAGGCGACGTTAGAACACCGCATGCAGGTGCCACCCAATTTCTTGTTTTTCGGGGGATCACTTGACGCGCATACGCCCCCTTCCTTCCCCCTCTCGACGGCTCTGCGCGCTTCTGGCATCTCACGTGACACACCAATGGCAGTACCACCCTCCCCGCCGTTTGTGTGTGTGTGTGTTTTTTTTTTTGCGATCTAACGCCTCTCATTGTTGCGTTTTTTTTTTTTTGCAACTTTCATTCCTACTGTCTCACCGACATCACTGGTGGGCGCATGTGTAGGGTCTGAAAATGGTGAAGAAGTTGAACCCCGCCACGCTACTGCCGGCGCTGACGACAAACACGCGGTACCTGAAAAAACTAAAGTTTATCACGAAGCGGAAGGAGGCGGCGGCGGCGGGGCGGCGGAGCGGCGGCAAGGCGAAGAAGAAGAAGGCAACGAAGAAGAGTGGTAGCGCGGCACGAGGGAGCGGGAAGAAGGCGGCAAAGGCTGCTGCGAAGAAGTCATCCGGCGTCTCGGCGAAGAAGAAAAAGACACCTGTCCACGGCACTGCGACCAAAACGAAGCGGAAAACTATTAATAATAATAAGAGCGGGAACGGGGATGCGCGTGATACGGCGTTACAGCAGCAGCCAAAACAGAAACAACTATCACCGGAGGAAGTAGATCAGCAGATGATAGCGCAAGCGATTCGTGGCGACGAAGGCACACACAACACCTCGTTGGCTGCTGGTGCTGCGGCTGAGGCGGGGGTGGAAGACTTCGTGCAGTACCCGTGCCTGCCCTTCCTAGAGGACTACGCGGAGCAGAAACGCAGCGAGATTGTCTCCGCGGACACTCTTCTGAGCAACGCCCATGCGTACTTCAAGGATCTTGGAAAGAGAGAATCCGCGATGCGACGCGCCGCGGCGAAGCGTCTGAAGGAATTGAAGGCCATCAACCGGCGCGGTGGCGACAGAGACGGATTCCGCTACGTTGTTCCGCGGAACGTGAAGGAGGTTGTTCGGCAGATGACGCAGAACGCTGAGGGGCCAGACGAGGCAGCGGTGGACACAACACATCTGACCTCGACCTTTGGGGGAGACGAGGCGCAGGATACATCTGAGCCGCCCATGCATCGCAAGCGGCGCAGGAAAAGCTGCTTTTCTGACTTCTACCAGTTCCAGGTGAGCAAGCGTTGGACACGCAATGCGGAGAGCTTCCTGAACAGGGGGCGTGCGCACAAGTCCATGTTTGAGGCCTCGCGACCGCAGCGCTCCATCAAGAAGTTCTAAACACGAGGGAGGAGCGGCAGTAATAAAGGTGAAAGAAACCAAAAAAAAACACACACATATACACATACACAATGCGGTGGAAAATAGTGGAAGGGCCTGCGTGTGACATAAATTGCGCCTTGTGCGGAGTCTGCGTGTTTCTTTTTTTTTTTGTTGTCTATGAGTATGTGTTTACTTGTGTATACCTTGTCACGCTTTAGCTGAGGGGATAGGGAGGGAGGCGACAAAACAAAAAAAAACGTCAATTAAACGACAATCTATGTCAACGTTCCCTTGCAGTCCTTTTTATTGTGTGTGTGAGTGTGTGTTTGTTTGCCCTCGACGTCTCAGGGAGGCAGAAGGAGAGGAGGAGGCTTCTTTCGATGTGGGACAAGAACTCACAGGAATTGTTTTGCACGTGACTTGGTCTATGAAAGCTGTTTTTTTTTATTTATTGTTCTTTGTTTTCAGCTCTCTCTCTCTCTCTTTCTCTCTCTTTCTGTCTGTCTCTTTCTTACACTCACTCAGTGAGCACCTAAGTTTTAGGTTTTTGGTTGTGGTGGTGGGCTTGGGGAGCACGGCGACTGTGGTATCGTTTGCGCCAGGGAGTGGTGCGTCGGCGTGCATAATACACACAGTTTGGCGAGTGAGACACGCTTACAAGAAAAAGGCGCAGTGGGTGCAAATGGGGAAGTTGCGTGACTTGTGGTCCGGCGAGGCTGAGCGAGCGGTCAATGCGCCGCTGCCGGTGCGTATCGCGCGCGGCTGGGATGTGCAGCCCGAAGTGCTGCCCGCCAAACCTCTCGCCCCGCGCAGGAGGAAGTACGTGCATGTGCGGCCGAACAACCGTGACGCGGTATCGCTACCGCACCCTGGTCAGAGTTATAACCCGGTGGACAACGACCACCAGGCCGCGCTGCGAGTGGCGGTGAGGAAGTTGGAGCGGAAGCGGTCCGCAGACGAAAAGTTTGTCGCCATGATTACCCACGGTCGCGACACACCGATCACAGGGAATTTCTCAGCGGACAAGACCTGGGAGGAGGAGGTCCAAGAGCGGCCGCAGAAGCCCAAAAAGAAGACAAACCCGAAGTGGGAGGAAGAAAAGAAGAAGAAGAGGCAAAAGAAGAAGAAGAAGGCGTTGAAGGCCTCGGTGCAGGCTGCCAAGCGTGCCTTCCCGCATCGCCGCCATCCGAAGCGTGAGGTTGCGGTAAAGGAGGCAGACGAGCTTGGCGAGATCCTAGCGGCGCACGAAAAGCGACAAGCCCGGCGCGAGGCTGCGAGGGAGCGACGCCGCACCGTGAAGCGTGATAATATGCAGGTGAAAAGTTTTGGTCGTTACCATCACACGCCGTTGGTGTTGGACGTGGCGCCGACAGACAAACTCGTTGGATCGCTGCGTCACTTGAATGGCAGTTGCATTCACCCCGTTATGGATCGAATGAAGTCGTTGGAGGAACGCAACCTTGTGCCGCCACGAATGCGACACACGTATAATAAACGAAAGGTGCTGAAACCAAAGGGTGAGGTGCGTGTGAAGCGTGAGACGTTTGGCCTGTTGCCAGAGACAACCTTCTAGAGGAACACGGCAAGTAGGCGAAGTGCGGGAAACGCAAGGAGTAGCGTCGGGGAATTAACGACTGCTGTTCTCGTCAGTTAAGGCGGTTAAGACAGACCCAAACCTTGTCTGTGTTTGTCGCACACCTTTCTCACGCAGGCAGGCGGTGGTGCGATGCACCGTTATATATATATGTATATATATATATATATATCGTTTTCTTCACGTTGCGACTTTTGTCTACTTGTTCCTTTTTCTTTTTCTTCTTTTTTTTTTTTTTGCTTGCGTTTCCGTATCTCATTGGCATTTCTGGGTGCATAGAGCCATACGGACTGGTGCGCTTCAGTTTGCCCTGGTCGCAGCAGTAGCAGCAGGTGGAAAGGGGGAGTGAGAGTGTACGGGGAGGGGAAAAAGCAAGAAACACACACACACACACACGAGAAGAAAAGAAGGGTCGCTGCGGCACGAAGGGGGGGGGGATCACAGCTTTACAATGAGTTTTTTGGTGAAGACGTTGCTGGGTGACAACGTGGTGCATCCGGTGGCGCGCGACAGGGCCGCATCGCCTGCTCCACAGCAAGACGAAGAGGCAGACGAGGCAAAACAGCGCGTTCCCACAAGAACGCTTATTCTTCGCGTTCAATCATGCACAGTCGCTCAGGACAGGCGTGACGCACTGACGGAGTTACAGGCGTCTCCTGACCTCCCTTATGTTATGGCGGCCAAAGAAGTTTCTTACCTTTGCAACATTCTGCGAAGCTTTCCTGACGACAACGAAGCTGTGGAGTCGTCTCTTGCTCTCCTTTCGGGTATCACGGACCTAACGAGTTACCCTGTTGGTTCCGCCAAGTACACGGTCTCTGAGAAGGAGAAGCGGCGTATTCGTGACTCCTTTCTGCATGAAATTGTTTCCGAGGTTCCATTGTTTTTGAACCATGTTAAAGCTGGGGGTTTTTGGACTCGATTTCACGCCGTACAAATCCTGCAGCGGCTGCAGGAGTACGACTCTTCCGCAGTGCACAAGCTGCTGCTTTCTTCACATGGCATCGGTGTGCTCCTGGACATTTTGAACGACGGCAACCATGGTGGTGCCCTTCGAAATGAGGGATTGGTACTCATCACATCCATCACGGCAACTGATACCGAGCTGCAGACACTGCTGGCCTTTGACAACGCTTTTGAAACGCTGTTTCAGGTCATTAAGGAGGAAGGTGGATTAGATGGAGGCGTGATTGTCTCTGATTGTCTTACCATTGTACATAACATGTTGCGAGATAACAAGGCAACACAAAAGCTCTTCCGAGAGATGGGATGTGCCCGTCTGGTTTGTACCTTATTGGAGGCGGTGCCTGAGCGTGTGCGAACCGCCATACACCATACTGCGTCCCTCAAGAAGCCTAATGCTGATGCTGGAGAGAATGTGGAAAGTAATTTTACTCCGCTGAGTAACATGCAGAGCGATGTGGTTTTTAGGGCGGTATCCATCCTTAGCTGTGTTTTACGTGGGGCCGAAGCCCACCAGGAGGGCTCTGCAGCCCAAGAGGTTCTTCTTCAAAGCGGTACATTGGGCCCGTTGTCGTCCGTGGCTCTTGGAGGCGTAGTTGTTGATGATGCAGCGCGTGTTGAGGCCTTACGAACGTTGGCAGTTCTTCTTCAGGATAGCAGAGTAGGCATTGAAGAGTTCCTGCAGTTGCAAGTTGTAACTTTGATCTGTCGCGAATTCCCATTTCGGGTAGAAGAATGGTCAGCACTCCGCGCAATTATTCATGTATTGTTGGGAATAGAGGATAGGGTGATGCAGTCTGCTGCTACGCACGTACTTCACGCCTTGCTAAGTGTTCCTTCCTGTGAAGGAGAGGTTGCGCATAATCTACTGAAAGGGTTTACTCCTTCTTTGTCCTTGTTGACACCAGCCGCCATGGCCTCGAAGGTGTTGCCAGCTGACTGTGGTGCAGCAATGGCCAGTGCCATTTTTGGCTCTATTCCATGTGCTAGAAGTAGCCAAAAGTATTATTCCGCCTTGTTATTGGATCGTCTTCTGCATGTGCCTGGTGTCGTTGAGAAGCTTCTGGCGATGGAGCAACGTATGGCGGTGGCTTCGTCACAGCTGCGACAACCTGTCAAATCTTCAGCAACGAGTAGTGTATTTCTTGCGTATGCGCAGTATGTCATTACGTGCCTCTGTGGTCACGGTGAGATGGATCTCAACACCCTTAGTGCCTGTTTCAGGGTGCTGCTACGGTGGGTAATTGGCTGCGAACAGGCGGTTCAGTTATTCGTGGGCGATCTAACATACTACAAGTTACTCCTGCAGCGAGCAGGACAAGAGGATGGCCCGGTGCATGTTCGTTTCTGGTCTGCTGCTCTCTGTGCTGCAGTATGCATCGTTGTCCCGGTGGAGGCACCAGACGCAAACCAGGAGCGGTTAAGCGGTGAAGATAGGCGGCGAATGGGCGGAAGTGGAAGTGGTGTAGAGAGTGTTCCGTTATCGCCTTTGCTGGATAGGCGACAATTGCTGGAGCTCTTCTTCAACCACCTGGGGGGTCCCGCAGTCTTTGACAGTTACCTTTTTGATGTGAAGGCCTCCAGCCCAATGTGGTCGGAGCCGCCAAAAAATGCCTTTTTGCGCCCAACTCCCGCCTTGTACGACGAAAAAATGAAAAATACGCTACTGGGCATCATCAAGGAATTCAACGACATTTGCCCATCGCGTGGTAGGATACAGACCGCGCCGTTGCAGGAGAGCACACTTTCGGTGGGCCCTGCGGCGGCAACAGCCACCATCAATGCTCCTTTCAATCTCGTTTTGGGTGACGTAGCCCCTTTTTCAGAGGGACTCTCACCACCCACGGCGAATCCGAGTGCCGCGTTTGGGACAGCAGCGGGTCTGGGAACTCCGGGACAACAACAACAACAGCTACTGCAGGTGGGGGCCTCAAACAATGCCGTGGAGGAGGTCCGAAACAGCCTGCGCAATGCGTACGAGTCCAGGGTAAAGGAGTTGGTCGAAACGAATGACGCGTTGCAGCGTGAACTGCAACTTGTGCGGGAGCAGTTGCATGCAAACACTGACGCACAAGTTTTGGAGACGGAACGTGAGAGTCGGTATCTGGAGGAGGTGACTAGTTTGCGGGAAAACATTAGACTCTTGGAGGAGGCTCTTAGTGCCGAGGAGGAAGAACACCAGCTCCTGGCACAATCACTGAACATGCTGGAGGAACAGCTGCGCGAGGCCCGCGCGAAACCAACGAACACCACCGAAGTTTTGGAGCTTCGTTGTGAGCTTCAAAAAGTGATGGAAGAGCGAGACCGCCTGCTTGTTCTCGTCGCCGAACTGGATGGGGAGAAAACTCCTGCGAGTCATGTGGAACTGAGAGCGAGGTGCCCGTCACCGTCGCCGCCTCCACTACCCCCACCATCCGCCCCGTCCTCGCTCTTTTCAGCGAAGCGGGCGGGGTCAGAGGTATACCAGCACAATTATTTCCAAGCGGCAGGTCCAAATAACCTTCAAAAGTCATCATCGTCTTCACTACATTCCTCTCAAGAACATGACGAAGGGCAGCCGCCGCGGGGTCAGTTTCAGTTGGCCACAGAGCCGTTTGGGCAACCAATAGAAACTTTAAGTGAGATGCATGGGCCTGTGGCAGCCGCACCAGATACGGAGAGACATCTGTTTTCAGATGGTTCTTTTGAGGGGCGCGTGCATGGAAGTGACATGGGGGCGCGGCGGACGGAAGCAACGTCGTCCTCAGGGGTTGTACGGCCTTCTGCTCCGCTGAACTTCAATCCCTTTGCAAATATGGTGACCGCTCAAAATGAGCTTGCAGGGGACCCGTGGTAGGGAGGGCTGCGGTGCTAAACCTTGGAAAACACGAAAAACAAACAAACAAAACCATATATAGTCGGAAAATAATCTGCAGGCGCCCAATCACAGCGTGGATTCTTACATCAAGTGACGCCTTTTTTTTTTATGTTTGAATAGCTCGTTTCGTGGCTGCTTTACCGTCTTTTTTGCTTTTTCCCTTTCAGTATGTGTGTTTTTTTTTTCTTATTGGCACTCTTGCTTCTCACGTCATCTCCTCTTTGATTGCCTCATTCCATCGCTGTGCAAAGAGCCGGGGGCAGGGGGTGCGAGAAGAGGACAGCACAGAAGGAATAACTTTAAAAGGAGGAAATAAAATAAACATACGCACCAGAGAAACCAGGCGAAACAACCGGTAGGATGGAGGGGACACAGTGTGGGACGGAATCGCTGACACCGTTAGTGGGCGATTGTGAGCTGGTGCTGCAGCGATCTACCAGCTATGAGCCACCCATGTATCTCTACCCGGAGTTACTTCCCAAGGTTCCGGAAGGCACAGCACCCTTTTCTGTTGGTGATGCGGTGTCAGATGCGGTCGACGTGGAGGCGTCATCCCTTAACATAGCGGAGCTGTTTCATTTGTTTCCAGTGGGACCGAACGAGGAGATGGGGGGTTCCCAAGTGGGGGATGCAGATGGCACGGGATCGGCCACAGCTCCTGTGTCTCCTGCACCCATGACGACGCTGGCCGCACTGTTGGCTGCAGATCGCCTTCAGGTAGCTGGTCTCTCGGCGGAGATGTTGCAGCGAGGGAGGTTTTCCTCTGGATCCATCATAGAAGAACTGATGAAACTCAAAGACCGTGCGCAACTGAACGATACTGAGGCGAAGGCTCTCATGTCAAACCATTTTATTAACGTTCTCGCTTGGCGAACACTGATTGAAGTCAACAATCGGACTTTGACAGCCGTGCAGCGGGAACCCACGCCTGAATGGCGTCGCAGTCGCGTACGACCACGCGAAGAGGCAACAGAAGAGCTTGATATTGGTGCGCAGCAGCCCTCGGATGATCCATGGAGCACAAGTATTGATCTGAAACCTGGAGTCTTTGTCGCTGCTGCAGAACAAAATGTGGAAAAACGGATCGAGCTTATTGAGACACTGAGTGCCCTTTATCGCCGTCCATGGAGAACTTTGCAGTCACGTGGAATACAGACAGAACAGTTTACACCTGGCTTCATCAATGAAACAGCTCCCTATGTAGACCCTATCAAGCTTCCTGCTGCCATGCTGGATCCTGAGAAGGATCTTGGATGGAAACCCTCGGCTGTAGAGGAGGTTTCAGCTAGTTGCTGGGAATTGCGGCTGACTTCTTCCAGCACCACAGCCTCTGAAGTGATTCCGTTGCGAGGACGCTTCATGCACTTTGGGCGCAACGCTGGTGTCACAAGTGCCGCACATGGTACTGTGACAAACGTTCATGTCGGACTCTCCACCTATACAAACCACCCTGAATTTATCTCACCCCATCATTTTTCGCTAGCGGTCCTCTCAGCAGAGACTGCATGGAATTCTGGCGAGGCATGCGCTGCGGTGAAGCATGAGGCCGATGGGAATCTGGAAAATGGTACGGAGGGACATTCACTTTGGCTCATGAACTATGGGCGTAACGGCGTTCGCGTTGTTGGAAAACAATGGACGCTTGGAGGCATGGTCCGCCTGGAATCCGGATACATTCTTCAACCCACCGATGACATCCATATCTTGGTTTGTGGGGGCGGCGGCAACACAACAGAGGAGGTGTCGGGGGACGAGAAGGCGCCTACCTTCAGTCCCGAGATAAAGACTGAGGAATAAACTGGAGCTGCAGAGGAAGGAGTGCTTACAAGTTGCCTGTTTGAATCGTTCACGGTATTCTTCTGTTGAGAATGCAGGTGATGCATGGGCGGTTAGAATTTGCTCTGATTTATTGGTTTTTGGAGCCGCCGCTGCCTGTTTTTTTGTTTTTTTTTGTGGTTTTAGTTTTGTTTCTGCTGTGTTGCTCTCGCTTGTGTTCCTGTGAAATTTCTCACTTCTCTTAGGGCTTCTCTGGCACCAAAATCCGATGGGTGCACATGTCCCGCTTTCCTTTTCCTTATTGCTATTATTTGCTTTCCGTCCGTTGGCGTGCGTTCTGCCAGGGTCTACGAGGAAGTTAGATAACATGGGATTTTCTCTTGCCAACATTGCGCAGGCACTGCTTCTTTGTCTCAACGCCATGGCCATCTTGTCAGAGCGGCGATTCCTTGCGAAGTATGGTCTTGCCACGATGCCAATGACAGAGCAGGGCGGTGAGGCGGGGTATGTGCCTCAGTCATTTGGCGCCGGGGATGCCTTTGCGCGTGGGCGGCCGATCTCTCCTTTCAAGGCGCATCTCGCCTCCGTGCTGAGTAGTGTACGTATGCTATTACGGTTGCCGTTGATTCTTGTTAACACGGTGGTTATCATCTTTGCCCTTCTGTTTGGTTGAGTGAAGGTGGGGCGCGGTGGGGCATACACGCTCTCTCCCACTGCACCGCCCCCAGTTGAATTGTGAAAGATTTGTCTATCACTGGGCGTCTGATTTAGTTGTTTGAGCTTCGGTCGCTCACCTGGTCGCTCGTGTATGTCAACTCGCTTGAAGGAGGATCCTTCACCATCTTCTCTCGAGTGGGAACTTGGGGTCTGCCAATATCTCTGTGTGCGTGCGTGCGGGTGGATGCGGGTGGGTTTTATTCCTTTTTGCCTGCCTGCCTGTCTTTTTTTTTTTGATTTGATTTGTTTGTGACTTTTATTATCATTATTTTCCTGTTGTTTACCGAAGCATACAGATGCCGGCCGGAAGCTCTAGACTTCCTTCCATTAGCGTTAAGCCTCGCATGGGGAAACGCAAGGAGAAGGTCCAAATATGGAGCGCAGTTGCGCTGCAGCAACACTTTTCGCGTGGGGCGATGCTGAATAGTGTGCTTCCAACATTAGAGGAGGTGCCGCCGCCACTCCCTGGCGGCCGGCAGACGCTGGCACAGAAAATGGGGCTGGTTCCACTGCCGCCGCCTGCCCCTACCGAAGAGGAGTGGACGACAATTGAGGGAACTGCATTGCGCCGCAATGCTGCGATGCCGCTTGGAGCCAATGCTTGTTGCATCTGTCAGGAACCTTTTTACGCCACAATGGAGCAGGGGCAGGTGCTGCTACGCTGCTCACACGTCTTTCATGAGCAATGCTTTCGCCGCTTTGAGAAGCTTGCGAGGATGTCACGTGGCAAGTGGGATGCGATGCCGCTTTGCTGCCCTGTTTGCCGAAGCAGCCATTACCATAAGCGCATTTTCTACGCGGGTAAGGCAATGGCACAGCGGGCTGCAATAGTAAAGATTCAAGCCTTTTTTCGACGCGTTTTGGCACGAAAGGCGTACGTGAAACTGCGACTGGAGAGTGACAGCAAGTTTTCTGGCGAGTATGCCCGGGAGCGTCTTGCGCGGTTGTCTGACGCGTATGCCGCGTACGCTGAGAGTCGTGAACGGGAGCGTGCCAACATGCTAGACAACATCGAGCTTCGCCTACAGCGCGCGCTTGCGCAGTACACAACAAGAGAAGAGTGGAATGAGCTTCGTGAGCGGGCGGAGGCGGGAGGTGTTTTGGATTGCCCCATCTGTTTCGGCGTCATTGAGCGTAACCCGCATGCCCACGACGTTCAAAAGGACGTCACGGGGGAAGATGTTGTTGCGGCTTTTCGAAAAGAATACGATGCCCGCATGGCCCAGCGACGTGCCTCAGAAAGTAGAAAGAAAGGGCCACCGCAATTGACGGGGAAGCGTAGCAGTTGCGTCACTATAAAAGCCCCCCCGATGTCGACTCAGGCGCATCCAACCAGATCTGTAGCACGTCGTTCTCGGCAAGCAAATCCGCTGAGTACAGTCGGCAACACTTGTGAAGGATGTGGTCAGTCACCAGTAAAGGTCCCGGAGGGGTCGCGTTATGGTCTTTTATTGAGTTGTGGGCACTGCTTCCACGATACATGCCTCTCGGTGTTTGAGCGCTACACGGAGATGAGGGCGGTGGAGCACAGTGATGCCGCACTCATTCCTCGTTGTCCACTTTGCCGTTCGGCCTATGTGAAGATGGATTATTAGTCGTCTCCAACATACAAAGACGCGTTTTGGCGTTGCTTTTTCCTGCTTTCTGTATTGCGTGCGCCTCTGAGGCAATGTACGGTAGTTTGTACACCGAATGTGTTGTTTTTCTTTTATTTGGTGATATATATATTTTCCGTGGTTATTGTTTTTAGTGTTGCCGCACACGCGCCTTTTTTTTTTTTTTGGTTTGATGAGGCTGTCTTCTTGTGGCGTGCACATGGATGACTGCAGCAATGTGCACACATTCACATGCACACACGCCCTTTGATAGCTTCTTCGGTCCATCGATGTTCTCATTTCTTTTTCTTGTTGATTCATGACGGTGTGACAGGCATAGCGAAGGAGTAACACCATGTCGGGTGTGGACTACTCAAAGTGGGATAAGTTCTGCGACAGCGATGAATCCGACGGGGAGGATGAAGTGAAGGGAGGGAGGCCGTGCGTTACGCGGCTGCAGTACCCGTCACGTGTCACAGTTGGCCCGAATGGGGTTCACATGGAGACGCCACCTCCACTAGCAACGGCCTCCCCATTTGTAGACGGAAGTGTTGCAGCTGTTGCCCATAACACTGCAACTGCCGTCACAGCGATCACGAATCCTGCGTCGGGTGGGGAACTGTCTTTGCAGCAAAGCGCCCCGAAGGAAGTTAAGGACGACGACGAGGCTGAGGAGGATGCGATGATGTACTATAACCTGACGCGCAACGGCGGACGTGAGGGGCAGTCACACCTCTGGTCACAGACGCGGGACACAGCCTCAGTGAGTTTCATACTTCCCTCAATGAGTACGAAGGCGAAGGACATAGTGAACTTTCGTTTGTGCTCCGAGGAACAGCCGGACGGCAGCTCTGTGTGTGTCTTAACATTTAGTACGCGGGGTGTTGAGGCTGAACGCCGATACGTCTTTAGGTATCCTGTGAAGCTTGACAGCGACGTCGTGGAAGGGTGTTGGCAGCTGCACTCGCTTCCTAGCAGGTCTCTGCGACTCATGGTGGTGCAGCTCGTCAAGGAGCCCGTGGCGGTGGGAATGTCGCTGTGGTGGAACCGATGTTTTGTGACGGATCAGACGACCGTTGACACCCGGACACTCGCCGACAGGAGTAGCACAGAGGCCCTGCGGGGAGAACAATTCCAGCGGGTTTGGCAAGAGGCCCATGAAAAATTCAAGAAGCGAATAAAAGAACGGCATGACTGTTTGCCCGTTATTGAGGAGGAGTAAGAGGAAAATTGCGTGGGGTGAAGGGCGTTTCCTGCGGTGTATGTCCCCCCCCCCCTTTTTTTTTTTTTTCTTCCTTTTCGAGTGCGTGAGTGAATAAGGACGAGTCGAGAACTAAAAGGCCTAACAGAGGGCAGTGAAGGCAATTGTTTTTTTTTGCTCTTGTTTTTTTTTAAAAAAAAATTTATGTGTGCGTGTGTATCCTCCACGCCGCAGCCAACATGTTATTCCCGATGTGTGTGTGTGTGTTTCTTTCTTTTTTTCCCTTCTGCATCGCTCTTCCCCTGTCGTAGCCCCCTCGTGGACTTTAGGGAGGGGGGAGAGGCCATGTGGGCCACGGCGGCACCGATAGTCATCTCGCTCCATGTTGTCCGCGACAGGTGCGGCAACGTGGTTTCCATTGAACGAGTGGACTCAGTCAGGCCCCCCGGTAACTGCCCAGCGGTGGAAGCGACGACCTCTTCCAGAGGTGGTGTTGGCAGACGAACAAAGAAGTCGGCGCCGCGTCCAGTGTGGGTGAATCCCGTAATGTCCTGCAGTACACAAACAGCTGCTGCCTACTGCGTTCTCGATAGTGACAAGCAGCAGTCCAGGCACATTGAGGTGGTTCAGCCGTACCGGTCAGACACTAATACTGGTGTGTCGCAAACTGATGCGCCTAGCGACTGTAGAGAGGTTTCAAAATATGACATTAGTCGTAAAGCCTCGTTTATGCCGCAGACGGTGCCACCCTCGCCTTCGATTGCGAGCGTCACATCAGGTCTCTGGGCGGCACGTGAGGCGTATCCGCCACGCACCAAATCACTTGAAAGCAAGCTGGTGAATGGAAATGACACTACGGAGCCGGTTTCGGGCCCAATACAGCAACAGCCTCTCAGAGACGGCGTGCCTCCAGAGCGCTTCGAGGCCTCTGCTATACGCTGGTCGCATTCTCAACGGAGCAGCTTTGGAGTGCAGTGGAAGTCGCGGCTTCCATCTTTTGCCATAACAGAGACGTTGGAGTTGGCTGGTAATCAATCAGAAGAAGCGGAAAGCCAAGTACAAGCACCGCGTCGGGGAGAGTCTCTTCTACGTAATGCACAACAGTTGGATACGATTTTGGGAATATCCACCACTGCAGGGAGTGAAGAACACATTGTGCCATCCCAGTCCTTCAACCTGGAGAGTCAGCAGAGTGCATCTCATTCGCGCCACGCACTGTCGGAGGCAGCAACGTCTTCAATGCACGTGGTGGAGGCGCATTTTCCCTCCTCGGCAGTGCCCTTATCGCGATATCATCTTTCCACTGACGCGGGGCCGGATGGGGAGGTGTGCAGCACACCGGATTTTTTCCATATATTTTGTGGACCCGATGAGGAACACAAAGTTGTGGAAGTGAAGGAGAAAAACGGTGAAAACATCAAGGAGAAAGACGAAACACGGGCGCTCACTTTAGAAGCACATGAGCCGATGACGGCTGAAGTAACAGTGGATGAGACAGTTCAGGGGAGTAAGCTGTCATCGAGGCGAGACCTGAGAGCCTCATCAGTTGAGAGTTGCGCGCGGATTTCGCAGCAGGATGGAGAGGTTAATACCACGGCGGTGGACATGGTGGGCAATGAGCTTGACTACTACCACACCGCCATTGGGCAGCAACATCAGGTGCCTATTAACGCCATTCATGAATGCACACGCCACCATGAGAAACTTGTAGGCATCGTGAAAAAGTTGGTAAGGGAGGGAACTCCCATCAAGGAGGAGGATGTATCAGTGGTGGATGGCCTCGAAGCACTGGCGTCTGTTGCTGTATCATCATCCTTGTCGGCGGATGCTCAGGTAGCAGGCACCTTTATTGCTGCTCCTTCCGATGCACAACGTTGCGGCAGCTGTAAGGGTGCAGCTGAGGCGGGTGAGGGTGACACGGAGCAGCACCTTTCCAGTGTAGGTATCCGTAGCCAGGGCAGTGAACTAGATGAGGCCATAGGAGAGGACGCAGCACCGCCTCCTACTTTATTGTGGCAGCGGCGTCCGCTCCCTGTTTATGACGCCTCTCTCGCACGTGGTTTGTCGCAGTATTTTGCCAAGAAGCTGAACCAAATGCGGGTGGGTGACAGCTTGGAAGTGACCCACAGTGATCCTGTTCACTTGGGCAGCAGCACAGTCTTTGCCCCTCCTCGGCTGAATCTGTTTCCTTTTTTTTCAAATACACCGCCTTCTACGTCTGCTTCTGCTTCTATTCCTCCACCTCCACACCCTCTTTCTCCTCCCCAGTACCGTGAAGAAGGATCGGGGGCGTTGCTTTCTTTTTATGAACTTCGAGATGCCTATTATCGTGCAAGAAGACAGTATATATTGAATAGTGAAACATGATAAAACCAATAATAAAACAAGGGCAGAGCTTTGCCTTCGGAGATGAAAGTGGATGGAGATGCTGTCGCCTTTCCTTATCGGTTTATGGTATTATTATTATTACTTGTTTTTGTTTGTATTTGATGTTTGTCCGGCTGCAGCAGGATGATTTTCTCTCGCTGGGCAGTACCAGAGAACAGGGCCTGATTTTCAGTCGATAGCAGAGACACGTTACTGTCGCTCTTTTTTTCTTTTTTTTCTTTTTTTTTTGGCTGGAGTACAAAACCCCCGCTGGACAGTCCAAACAGTACATCGGCAGAACTCCGTGCATCCGTGTTGGCTTCTGCCTGGCCCAAGGGCGTGACAAAGCAAAACGTACGGCTCTGTCAGACGGACTTGTCCCCAGGGTTACTTCACTCATGCATGATTGTTAACGTTTTCCGTGATTGCTGCGTTGTGGCACTTGCTGCGATGTCGATTGTGACCCCTCTTGTAGGAACTGTGGCTCACTCCTTCACTTGGAAGCCGGTGCAAAGCTGTCAGATGATTCCTCTTATGAGTCTGACAGCAGCATGCTTGGTCGTTTGCTTAGGGTGCTCATCATGGTGTCGCACTGTAAACGGTACAGGGAGATTGAGGGAGGGTAGTTTGGTCGAGCTGGACACTTCAGCCTGCACTCGGGGTTTTCATTGTCTTTTGTCAGCCCGTGTGTTTGTCCGTTAATGGTCGTCCCCACGTGGAACACCGGACACCGCTAGCACGTCCTGATGCGGATTTTTTTTGTTATTGCCATTGTTCTGCCGCCAGTTTACGGTGTTTTTGTTGTTTGTGAAGAATCAAAAGGAAACGGAGGGACAAAAAACAAACAAACAAACTTGAGGAGAAGCGAAGGAGCAGCGCTGATGCTGTGAAGAGTGTGTGTAATGTGTGTGTGTGCATAGTTCTGTTTTCTTTTTTCACATCGTTTCATCTGCCAGTAGTGGTTGTAGGGGTTTTGTTTATTTTATTTCTTATATATATATATATATATATATATATATTCCCTACAATACTTGGGCGGAGGATGAGTGCTGACCGCATCCTATCGGGGAGCGGTGGCACTCCGTCGTTAGAGCTTCAGATTGACGGGGCGCCACTTGCCGGCATCCTCGTTGACATGATGCGACTGATACGCTCTCAGCAGGATGAGTTGGCGGCTCTGCGCCGCAACGCGGAGGAGGGGATTTGCCGTGGAGAGTGTAGTTTGAAGCAGCACGAGGAGGTGTTAAGTAGGCTCTCCGAGGATGTGCAGCTGCATGTGCGCCCCATCCACCACCACGCTCAACCGCCCATGCCAACCATGGCGGATGCCGTGGCTAATGTGGAGTGTCGGCTGGGGCGGATTGAGCGAGCAAGGAAGCTTGAGCTCGCCGCGCGGCTCAGGGAGGTGACGGCGAAGAACTTTACGGCCACGTTCTACAACCAGTGGCTTCAGCACCGAACGAGACGAGTCGCCAGCTATTCGCTATTAGTGCAGACGAAGAAGAACGTGTGGCAACGATACATGCGGCGGTGGTTCCGCTATCTTTCATTCCGGATGAGGCAGTTGGCTCGGCGGCGCCACTTCACAGGACTTATCGCGGCTCAGGAGCGGCGCTTGATGCGCAGGTATTGGTGCCAGTGGACTCAGTTGGCGGCGTCCAAGTTGCAAACGCGCGTACATTGGCGGATCTCCTCCCACAACGCCGCCGAAATGATGCTTCATCTCACCTGCCGTTCAATTGCGCGACGCTACCTGCGTGCCTGGGTGCAATTTTCAGAGGCCACTAGGAATGCAAAGAACCGGGCAACTGCGGCACTCCTTTTGGAGCAAAAAGCAGCTAGACTCCTGGCAGAGCGCTATATTCAGAAGTGGCTTGACGCCCATCGCTGGCGCCAACTCTTCGTCATGCGTTTAAAGAAGTTAGATGCGTTGCGAGTGAAGACATGCCGCAACCTGGTCCGCTCCCACTTTAGGACGTGGCACGCTATTATTCAACATCGGCGTGAACGGTATCGTACTCTCCGCCTCATTCCACATTTACATCACACCAGCCTTGCTGCGCTGGCGCGACGGTACTTTTCTCGTCTCTACGCCTTTCGACTTGTGCGCCGTGAGGCGCGCGTGGTAGAAGCGTTGGAGCAACGACTGCAAACACTCAGTGAAAGGGCTGACGGCCTTCAGCGGCAACTGGACATGGGATTACATACATTGTCGCACACCAACAGTGTTCTTGCCCGGGTCGTGGATACAGTCATGATTTCCAGGGAGCCGCGCGCCGCTCTGCATACGCTGCTACAAGATGAGACGATTCTGAATTTCATGGCAGTACCCTCGGTGGGAGAAACACAGAACCATCAGGAGGCATCGTCCTCCCCGGTCACTGCGCAGCCTCACTGCTACGGGGACTCGGCACCCGCAGCAGGGCCGGAGCGGCAATCGAAGGATGAGCATCATTGCAGCAGTGCAAGCGAGGTGCTTGAGAGCCTGCGTGCCCGTCTGGAAAATACGTACAAAGTGGCTAGGAACGAAGCGTAGGAAAGAGCCTGAGTTTATCTCTCTTTATCTTTTACTTTATGCCGTAGGGTATAAATGGATTTACTTTCTCTTTAGTTGGGTCTCGGATCTGTTATGGCTGCCACGTCTTTCGGCTGCACTTTTATTATTATTGTTGTTTTTCTTTTTTCCTTAGTTGTTGTGAAGCTGGGGGGGGGGGGGGAGTGACGTTACCACGCATGCAGGTGTCCATTGCGTCAATCTCATTACGCGATATGTCCCACTACTTTAGCAGCGTGCTGCTCAACGTGCTGTCTTGATAGACGCCACAGCACCTTGGTCCTCTCTCATCCTCGCTGGCTCTCACCCCTCCGTTTTTTTTTCTTTTTGTTTTCTTAATTATTATTGATTTTACATCCCCTTCGCCTTGCTTACCTTCTTTATCCTTGTCTGTCTTGTTGAGCTGTTGTGAAAACACAAAACGTGGGGAAAAATTCGAGGTCAAGGGTGCGATGTCGCTGACGGCGGAGTTGTTTGGATTATCCGCCCCGTCCTCGACGGCGGCGGGGGTGACGCATGCAAGCGGCGCCCCCAACGCAACTTCCGTTTCGTTTGAACCGGCAAATAAGGCAGCCTTTGATATTTTTGTCTTGGCACCTCAGGTGAAAAAAGCTACTCGTAAGGAGAAGCAACGTCTTCGTTTGCAGGAAATGGGCACAGGCAAAAAGGGCACACAAAAACCTGATGGCTCGAAGGAAAGAGATACGGATAACGATGTCTTCAAGACGGTGCTACTCACCGAGGATGTCAAGGAGGGCGTTGCCGCAGTAAAACAAAGGAAATCGTTCAAAAAGCATTTACGTCATGCACTCCATGAAAACAAGGAGGAGGATGGCCGCACAGTGTTTGTTGGGAATCTTGTGAATGACGTTAAACGGCGGACAATAGAAAAGGTTTTTAAGAATTGTGGGGCAATTGAATGCGTCCGAGTTCGGGCACAGGCTGTGGAGCGCGGGGAAGAGGAAGGTTTTAGCAAGGACAGGCGTCAGAAGAGCGTGGGCCGCGCCATACGTGTGCTACGTGGAGAGATCAAGAAGGGTGACCAGTACAGTGCGGTGGCGTATGTCCTATTTAAGGATGCAGCGTCAGTGACGAAGGCGTTGGAACAGAATGGCATAATCGTGGATGGACGTCACATTGTGGTTACTGCAATGGACGCCGAGAGCCGGGCCTACGCGCCGGAGACGTCTGTATTCATAGGCAATATTGCCTATGACACCAATGAGGAAATGGTGTGGAATTTCTTTCAGGAGAAGGGGGTGGGAGGTGTAAGACGTGTTCGCCTGATCCGGGATCGTGACACAGGCAGCTGCAAGGGGTTTGGCTACGTTGAGTTTCATACGCCTGCCTCCGTGTCGCGAGCCATTGCCGTCCGTGGCACTCTGTTGAACGGTCGGGAGGTTCGAATTGTCCACGTGCAGAAGTCGAAAGCCGTGACTGCGACGAAGGCAAGCCGGCGGGAGAAGCGGAAGAAGGAGGAGCAGGTAACAGCCAACCGTGGCCACAGCGACGGGGGGAAAAACAAAAGGGTGCGTACGGAGGAAAAAGGGACGAAGCGACAGGCCAACGCAGAGGGAGAGTTTGCGTGGATGGGCGTCGTGACAAACCCGCGCAAGAAAATACCGAAGGACCTGCGGCCGTTAGTAGAGGGCAAACGAAGCCGCCCACCCTCAGGACCGCGAGCCCCGGTGAAGCGAAAAATGCGCAACCCGGAGAAATAGCGGCATTCATCTGAGCGTCTCGCTCTCGCCTGGGAGGAGGAAAAAGAAAAAGGGGTAGTGAGAACTAATCGTGTAAAACCCCGCGTAAGGGTGTATTAGTGCAGATATACAGGCAATAGGCGGGAAACCAAGAAGAGAAGGAAAATGAGATGGACCACATATCTCTTTCTCTTTCTGTCTCGTTAATATAAACGAACAACACTACAACAAACCAACCAAAACAAATCAGAGGCAATGTGCGCCTTGCTCGTTATTTGTGAGAGAGGGGGCACAGGCAAAAGTAATAATTTTGTTTTGGTTTCCTCTTTTTTTTTTTCCTCTCACTCTCTCTCTCTCTTCCTCTCCTCCTTTCGAGAATGGGCTTTGTTGGGGATTTAGCTGCAAGGGAGATGTGGTGCAGGTGGGTTACTTTGACAGGTGTTGTCGTCGGCATCTCTGGCGTGGTTTTGGTTTCACGTATGTGGAAGTCACGCCATTGTGCCGACTTTCAGGATGCCACTTTTGCTGCCAGGTATGCGGCAGTTCTGGGAAAGCAGGATGAACTGCCCGGGGAACAGCCTGACGAAGACGCAAAAGTATTGGTGCTCTACGGCAGTACGTCTGGTAACGCCGAGGGTTACGCCAAAAGCCTTGTGGCGGACCTGAAGGACCGCAGTGTCGCGGCTGCACGTGTAGACCCCTCCTCTTGGGGTTACCTCGACCAGTGCAAGTTGCAGCCCTACCACCAACAACGCCTTTTCACGTCGGGTGCGAAGGGGGGATCACCCATTCTTGTTTTTGTAGTCTCAACCACGGGAGAGGGTGAACTTCCGGCGAATTTTATTTGTCTCTACTCTGAAATGCAATCGGTCTTGGAAGAGGCATCTAGGAGCGGCACAAAACCTTTTGAGGGTTTAATGTACGCTGTATTTGCCCTGGGCGACAGTTCCTACAAGTACTACTGTCGAGGAGGAGTGCAGGTGAGGCAGCTCCTGAAGACGGGTGGTGGAACGGAAATTTTGCCTGCTGGCTTTGGGGATGCACGTAATCCGCTCCAGGACGACGTCTTTGATGCATGGGAAGAAGCTCTCATGGAGGCGTTGGAAGAGCAATGCGGAGTGACACTGACAGCCGGCTCGAACGTTCCGCCCGAGCCGCAGTTAGTATTTCGGTTTACGCCTGATAAGCCCTTCAGTGCCTTGCCCTATCCGTCTCCACTATCTCTTTTGGAGCCATCCATGCAGTACCCAGCTCAATTTAAGGTGGAGGCCAAGACGTCACGTAGCAAGCGGCGTGAGGATGGCTCTTACATCCTGCACTTGGTTGTGAATATAGAGGGGTACACAACGAGTTATCAGGCCGGAGACCATCTTGGTATCTACCCCATTAATCCACCTGATGTGGTGGAGGCGTATCGACGACTACTAAAAATCACAGAGGAAGACTGGGTAAAACCAGTAGAGCTTTGCACGGATGCCAACGTACGCGCGCGGGCTTCATTAAAAAACTCGTTTCCTGCACGTGTTGCCTTAGGGACCGTGTTTGAGCGCTACTTCGACTTGTGTAGCAGGCCTCGTAAATCGCTGCTGCGAGTTTTAGCGAGCTATTGTTCGGACTCGGAAGAGAAGTCTCGCCTCATGGAATTATTGCATCGAGGCGTAAGGGCAAATGGCGAGGATGGAGCACAAAACATCCCGGCATCATTGCCAACGCCATCCCTTACTTTTGCATCCACATCCGCCTCCTCATTCTCCCCTCATTACCGTACTGTGCTGGATTATTTGAAAATGTTTCCCAGTTGCTGCTGTATACCGCTTGGACACCTTTTGGAGCTTATGCCACGGATGCAGCCACGCTTTTATTCGATTGCGTCAGACATGCTGACACATCCCACCACAGTGGAGGCGTTTGTCCGTGTCATTCCTGATGGATTGAACTCGCGCTACCTCGAACGCATCGCTGTCGGGGAAAAGATTACGGCGTTTATCCGCAAGTCTACATTTCACCTTCCTGTAAAATGCGGCGGGCGGCCAATACTGATGATTGGTGTTGGCACCGGCATTGCGCCCATGGTGGGGTTCTGTTACCGGCGAGAGGCCTTACTGAAGAAGCAGCCGTCCGTTGCATGTGGGCCGATGATTCTTTTCTTTGGGGCGCAGAGACGTGCGACGGAGTATTTTGTGAAGCTGGAGCTGGAGCGCTGGTGCCTCCATGGTGAGGGAAAAATTCGTGCCGCTGACGTGCCCCCACCCTCGTTAGTTCATCTGCTTGATTTGGCGTTTAGTCGCGATCAACCCGAAAAGTATCACGTGACCCATCTTATTGAGAAGCACAAGGAGTACCTCGCGCAACTGCTCACCTTGACGGCGAAGGACGGCTGTCTCGTTTACCTCTCAGGCGATGCCGCCCACGTGGCACAAAGCGTGGACCAAGCCTTGGTGAAGCTCCTGCAGGGCACTGGCATGACGCGGCGTGCAGCAGCAGAGTTTTTGGAAAAAATGGAGCAGGAACGTAGGTACATGAAGGACGTGTACTGAGCATGTACGCATTCAGTTGCTTTGACAGGCAATTTTAAATGGAAAGAAACAACGACAACAACAACAACAACAACAACAAAGGGGGAACACTGTGGGGGAGGAGTTGTCTCATGCCCCTCGTCGCTGCATTAAAAGGGACCACACATGAAGAGGGTAAGGAGCTCGATTGGGTTTTTCACTCACACACACACACACACACACACACACACACACTTTCTTGTGTGTGTGTTTTTTTTTGTTTGGGCCTGTTGATCTATTTTACTCCTTTCGGTTTGTTACCCTTTTTTATTATTATTTTCCGTCAGCCACGCCCGGGGCCAAGTGGGGAGAAGGATCAATTAAAAAAAAAAAGAAAGAAAGAAAAATAAAGGTGAAAAGCACGGGGAGCTGAATTAATTGCAGGCATTTGAGGCAGTTATGAGTGTTGATGAGATTGACGCCTTTCGCGCCGAGCTTCTTCGGCAAAAGATAATTTTTGAGGCGGAACTTCGCCGGCAGAGGGAGACCTTCGAGGAGCGGCTCTCGCGGATGGCGCAGGAGTTGGCCGATAGAGAAGCCGACTGCCGCAACCTCCAAGCCGTGGTGACGATTTTAGGGAAAAAAATGGAGTCCTTGGCGGACAGGCGCGCCGCAACGCCGCACCGCCGTCCCTCCCCGGCCAGACCGGCGTCCTGCGCCGTCGCACAGGGGGAGCAGGCGGTGCCATTGCGGACAACGAGCCCCTCCACACGGCGAACGTCTCCGTTCCGACGCAACAGCAACTCCTCCGCTCCCGCCCCCGGGGGAAGCCTCTCGGCCTTCCGTGCGCCAAGCCTCAGCAGCATAAAAAGCTGCCAGAGCAGTCCGGCACGCGCCGCCAACGGTCGACGACCGAGACTTGGGAATGACGACGCGGCTGAGCAGCACCTCCTCTGTAGAGGCATTAGCGGCACACGTTTGCAGAAATTGCGGCCAGCGGAAGCTTGATGGCGGGAGTTGCGCGGCTGGGAGTGGTAGCCAATGAGGTTGGTATTTGAGAGGCTTTTGTTGGTAGCCCGCGCTTGTTGCTATACTTTGCTTGTTTGTTTTCTCTGGTGGGAGATGGGTCCTTTTTTGTTTTGTTTTGTTTAGTGATGCCTTTTTTTTCTTGTTCGGTGTGTTGCGGGTTTCCACCCGAGTAATGCGCGTTGGGCGGGACGAAGCAAAGTGGAAGGGGATAGGTTGCGATGCGGGTCGTTCAGCCACGGTTGTGTAAATACGCTTTTCGACTTTCGTAGAGTTTCGTTTTTGTTCCGAAAAAAAATTTCCCATTCGTAGATTAGAAGCAGATAACGAGGTGCAGTCCTTCTGCTGAAGGGGTCAGCACAGTAGGGCACAGAAGCAAAAAAAAAAAAAGTGACTCAATTTGGACGTCTGAAGTAAATGAAAATAAAGAAAGCAAAGTGGGACACGTTGCGGAGGATCACTGATTAGAGTTCTACCGCCAAGTCTGTTTGCATGTATGTGTGTGTGTGTGTGTGTGTGTGTGGACCAGGCCATCACTAATGAGGCGTACTGATGTGGTCTTGTTATTTTTTTTTCTTTGGGCTGTCCTTTCTTTGTTGTTTTTGTTCACTGCTGCACGACTTACCGCCGCTTTTGTATTTACAGGCAGACACCTTGTATTTCCAGCCAACCATTTTGTGTGTATGCGTACCCCATGGTACACGTGTAGAGAGAGAGTCTTGTGCAGCGAGTGGTTGTGTGTGTCTCACGCCGTGCCGCATACGTGGTATGGATGCATAGAGGGATGGAGCTACTTCCCCCGTTGATTTCTTAAAGTTGGACAGCTCAAAATAAGGAGGGAGGGATGGCAGTTGGCAATGACAAGGAGCAGCCACCGACGTTAGATGAACGCACGATGCAGAATATGCGAATTGCAGAAAAGATTGGTGCCAAAACTTTTGAAGAGAATACAACCATTTTGCGGCGCGTGGCATGGCGAGGGGCACGTGCCTTCGTTGTCTGTGGCATTGGTATGGCTGCCTTTGCCTACGCGATGCGGCGGCGACGGCAGCAGCTTCAACAGGAAGAGCTGCGTAAACGGGGGCGACTTGAAGAGGATTCAACGGCACGGTATCTGGAGGAGATGCGGGGGCTAGGGTTTGATGTCGACGCGCTTGAGGAGGAATTGGAGGCGGGGCGAAGGGCGGGAAAAGTAAACTGACTCTTTACCCTTTTGGGTCGAGGCAGAACGAAACCCCCACCTTCCCCCCGCAACAACAAAATGAAGGGAAAGAGGGAATACGCATGACGAATTCCTGAGCACTCCTTTGTACCGTTAAAAGTGCGGTTGCGTTGAGGCGGGCGGGGGGAGCTCATTTGTCTCTCTTCCTGAAACAAACTTGGAAAAAGTAAAAACAAACAAACAAACAAACAATACTTGCGTAGCAATCTTCTTTATCCATTTGTTTTCTCCATTTCCTTTTTTTCCCTGTGCATTTGCACAGCGTGAAGAGGAAGCAGTGAGTCTGCCTATGGCATCCAGTTTGGTGGAGCACGATGGCAACCTTTCGACCGCGCACGAGGCGTATTTTCGCCAGCAGCCACATAAGCAAGAGGGTGACTGCCAAAAGACCTCAGGTGAAGTGTATTTTCCGTTTATGTCGGGGCACCAGCACCAGCAACAACAGCAACCACCCCAGCTGTTTCGTGCAAATGGGGCGAAACGTGTCATTGGGCGCTCGCGATTGATTTGCTGCTGTGTTCTTTCTCGTGATGGGGTTAATAGTATCTGCATCATTGTGATCCTGCTGGCGGGAGTCGCTGTCTTTATGTTTGGTGTCGTCCCACGTGGGGAAGTTTACTCGTACGTCGTTGTTTCTGTCCTCACTGCAGCCGCCATCGCCTGCTTAGTTATGTCTGTGGCGGTGGACCCTGGTATCTTGCTGCCGCTCCCCCCCGATCCGACCCGGCAGCCTGAGACCGTCATTGTGAATGGAAAGGAGGTGCTTTGCAAAGTTTGCCCTACCTGTCACATTCTGCGCCCCCCGCGAAGCACCCACTGCCAGTTTTGCGACTATTGTGTGGAGGAATTCGATCATCACTGCGGGGTGGTGGGGAGCTGCGTCGCCAAACGAACCTTTCGGTTCTTTGGGGGATTTTTTGTTTTCACGGCCTTTCTCACCCTCTACATTGGTATTCGCACTCTCGTTGTTCTTAGTACCTGCAATTGCGACTGGGCTGCTGGACAGGGGCGCTGGGAGCTAGGAGCCGCCGTCCTGTCAATGATCGCCTCTGGCGTGGGTAGCTGCACTGTGATACCGTTTGCATTTTACTACATTTATCTTGGCTGCATGAACTCCACGCAGAAAGAAGCCGCCCGCTTCTCCCTTGGGTTTTGTGAGGTTAACCATGATTACCATCAAGGGTGCTGGCGCAACTTTTTTGGCCGTTATTTTGGTCCTCTCGGAAAGAGCCGTATTACGGCGGAAAACGCAAACCTTTACGTATAGAATGAACGGGCGGAAGAAGGCCTCGTCCGTGCTGCGTCGCTCTCACCCCCCCCCCCCCCACCGCACACACACACACGCACACACACACGTACGAGCGTGTGAGGAGCTGGGGTCTCCACAACGAGAGGGCGGAAGGCCTTGGGCACAAAAAGAGTACGCACGCAATGGACAACCAGGCTGGTAGAACTTTTCTAATATAGCTTTGCTGGCTTTCGGTGACTTTTTTAAGCACGCCCCCCCCCCCCCTCTTCCCCTCC